TGTACAGGTGGTGCTAGGGTTTTATATTTCACATTTTTATTTCTTGTGAAAAGGCCTTACTTTAGGTACCAGCATATTTGATCTTTAAAATTTGGAAAAAGCTTAACCTTCCTATGTTGCTATACGGGGGCATCATTTTTTCACAAACACATCATGTTTTCTTAGTTTCAGTAATCAATATTTGCTCTTCCAGAGAATATTGCCTACAAACTGCCTACAGTTTCACAGACTTCAACATATGGTGATCAAAATGCCAGTAATGCGGTCGATGAAAGTGGGAGAAGTTCTTCAAGGACCGAGCTTGCTACATATTCCAGTTTTTCCTTGAAATTTTCAGAAGTCAGAAAATTAAAATACATCTATATCGACATAAACGAACTTAGTAAGATTATTACAGAGTGAAAGTTGATAAGTATACAAAGCATGGTTGTGGTGGGGTCAGCCTTTTATTCTTCTGAAAGTGAACATAATATAGAAAGCTCAGTTTATTTTTCTGCCTCAAGCTGTAGAGAAAGACATGCAGTCGCAAAATATGGATTGCCTGCATGGCGCAGTGGCTAGAGTCGCGGAGTAATTAGTTCATGCTTGGATCGTGGTTTCTTATCCCATTGTAAGGCGTAAAGACTGGTCCTTCGGATGAGAGAATATGATAAAATCGAGAAACTCACTATCGATGCATGCGCGGATCAAGAGGGGAGGTCGTAATGTTTGGACCCCCCCCCCCTAATTTTCAGAGTTATTAAATTCATATAGTAAAAAAACACGTGAAAAGTGACCTTTCCCCCTAGAAAACGCCAACCCCCTTTGATCTGTGTTTAGTTGGTATGAAAAGTCATAGGTGTGAAGCATTAGAGGACCCCCCTCCCCCTCCCCCCGAAATAGGTTTTTATGTTTCGGCGAATTTTTATTTATTCATTTATTTTTTAGCTTGTTAGCAAATTTCTGGATTGGGTTTTTTTGGCTGGAGTGGAACCCCCCCCCCCCTCCTCCCCCTGGAAAAATGTTACATTTAAGTTTTAGAATTCAGAGAATTTAAAACTATAAAAAAAAGATTGTTATAGTTAGTTTTAAATTCTCTGAATTCTAAAACTTTAATTTAACAAAAATATCGCGGATCCGCGCCTGAGATGCTTGTTTAGGAACAATCTGTCTATGGTAAAAAAAAAACTGAGGAGAGGTCTATGCAACCTTTTACCAGCATTTGGATGTTTTCCCAGCTTAATGAAAATGTTGATCGAAGGATCGTACAACAAAATAGACAATAACCAACCTTTTGGGTTTTTTTAGGCTTGTTTTTTTTTTCCTTCTCCACAGCAGTGATTGATAGAGCGTTGGGGGGGGGGGGGGGTTGTAGTCATATTAGATATTGATTTAATCTAGTAGAAAACTGGTCAATTAGAAGTGTAGATATTAAAAAATATCTTATTATCATATTGACAGGTAGTGAAGAAACTCGATATGACGTCTTTGTGGGAAACATCTCTGAAACCTCTGAAACAGATGCGAAGTTGTGTAGAACTTTTACTACATCATCAAGAGGGCGTTCGTCAAAAACTCTTACGTGTGATCCAATACTGATTGGAGATTCAATTACCATCAGCAGGACTGTCAGTAATGGGAGTTTAATTATTTATGAAGTAAAAGTGTATGGTAAGTAACATCTTCCTGTTATGTACATCTAAACTTACTATTTATATCAAATGATTGTTATTTATTACCGATTGTTATTTATTTCAACATCACGAGAGTTGATAATAATATGCAGGGAATTTTAAAATGTCCGTGTAGGGAAATGTAAATTTAAAGAATTAACAGATTAATGCCAAAAACTGAAAAAAAGTAAGCAGATCATTATTTTACATTAATTATAGGATTTTTTTTATTTGTTAAATTACTAATGAATTGATCAGCTATACGGAAAAATTCGTATTTATTAATTATTAAAATCATACTCGCAAGGCATTGGTAAGAAACATGACAGACAAACAAAAAGGGCCCATTGATAAGTTATTTGCTATCAAGTCATATTACTATCAGAGAATATATGAAATGATGATTATAAACAATTTTATGGAAATACCTGCAACATCAAATAACAAGTACATGTACTGAGTATCTGTTAGTAATCGATCTGATTCGGTTTAATTGTACTCCGAGCATATTCTTGACTATTGAATAAGACTGAAGGCATATAGGAGATGTAAACATCACAAATGGTAGAATCCAAGAATTTGCAATTATACAATATACCGACTAGTGCCCTGTTCACACGGAGAGTTTAATTCGCAGTAAATTAATGCGAAGTAAACTAATGCGAATCAAACTAATGCGAATTAAACTGCGTTCACTCAACAGCTAATGCGAAGTAAACTAATGCGAATTAAATTTTACTTCTGCAGCCCGGAGTCAGCACAGCCAATATGACGTCATTTGCAAATCACGTCACCCTATGCAGACATAGGCGCTTGGGTCAAGGATACTGTATTTTTTTCTATATAATGTATTGTCGAGGAAATTCGAACTATACTCGTAACATTTTTTTCAGTGTGCAGTGTTAATTTTTAGTTTTTTGTAAACCTTTCTGCTTCATATACACTAGAATGTCGCGGAAATTCGATTTTATACACGCTTTAAAAATGACACATCCCACTGTATACTAAAAAAAAATGTTACGAGTATAGTTCGAATTTCCTCGACAATACATTATATAGAAAAAATACAGTATCCTTGACCCAAGCGTCTATGTATGCAGAGGTAGATCCATTTGACATAATGGCAAAGTGTCTGTCTACACATTTTAATGATTAACAAAATTTTCCTTAGTTTTTCACTCCAAAATAGCACAAGTACCTATAGCTGACCACCAACAAGTGGCATTTGACTAAATTTCGCCATAACGCATGCGTCAGAATTTAATTCGAATTAGCTTGATTATTTAACACCCTCAGCAATAATTCCTATTTAAACTCCTTGCGTGAAAAGTCAGGATGTAAAGTGATGAGAGTGTCCGTCTATTCGTCCGGATAGACAGACAAACGGACGGACATCTCAGTTACTTTATTCCCTCCTGCTTTTCAAGCGCGGGGTATAACAACAACAAAAAACATTAAAATACAGTGCAAGGTCATGCTTTTCATTGCATTATTGTATGATAATGCCTGCGAAACGGGAGCCCGGTTTATACGGTTTCATCCGAAGGACCGGTCGTCACATCCAACAATGGGATTCGAACCCAAGGATTGACTCTTTATCTTGTGACTCTAGAGCAGATACTCTAACCATGGTGCCAAGCGGGCAACCAAAGGAAGAGAAAAGTAGCAGTTGGACTTGATACATTGCACCATCAATAAAAAGACTATTTGATTTTGCCTCTTTTGTGGAAATAAACAGTAGGAAGAGTAGCCTTTTAAGGGAATTTTTCAGAAATTTTGATTTAAGTTACCAATGCAACAACATTCATCGAAATAAAAAAAACGATAAAGAGAATTATGTACCTTAGTGTAGTCTACTTGCATGCCACATTATATTAAAATCAGACCAATGTATAGGCGGAATAGCATTTTGAAAGTATTTCACAGAAAATTCTTTTTTTTAGTAACCATGGCAACACCGTACATCAAATCAAAAATCTATGAATAATAATTATATAGTGTTGCCCACTTGTGTGCCAAGTTATATTGAAATCAGACCAAAACTATGGAAGGATTAGCATTTTGAACAGACGGACAGACACACATGCGGACGGACAACTAACATCTTACTTTTGCATAAGTTCTACTGGTTTCTGACCAGTAGAAAGAATATTTTAGTGTGTATACGGTTACTTTGTATCTAAATTTGAAAAATAGAGAAAAAAAAATTATTTGGGTGGGGGAGGAGTGTCATATAAAATTAACACTAGGTTATTCTTCAAGATAAAAAGTTTATTATAAGGGAAATATCCTCAAGAGTTATAAGTAAGAACGGAATTTCAACGATAAAATTTGTAGTAAAAGTGGAAAACAATAATATAAGCAAAACATAGATTAAAGCGTCAATAGATATCTTTTTTGTGGAACTTAAAAAAGAAAATGAAAACAATCTCTCTCACACTCTTTATACAAGATGAAAGATCTATTTATATTCTATTTTTTTAAATATATGTACTTTTAATTTACTATATTACCCGAAAAAAAACACCTATTCTAAACGTGGAAAAGAAATCCTCGGTAATGCTGTAAATAATGATCAAAGACAACTGACAGAAAAAACGTCATCATATGAAAAAGAAATTGAACAGTGTATAAAAAGTTGCAAATAAGTTCAAATGAAGAAGGAGAATCCATTAAAGTATTAGTATTCGTTTGCCATCAATGACCTAAACTTAATATTTAGGTTAGATTCTGCCCTATATTTACAAGAAATTAGCTGCCTTCTGTTAGTTAAAGGTGCCTCCATTGAAAGCTTTTTGTTTGTAGAATGCAGTTCTGGCACATACGGATATCTCTGTGACAAGATGTGCAATAACTGCCTCGAAAACCAGTGCGATGGAATCACTGGAGTTTGCTTGAAAGGCTGCAAAGAAAATTGGTATGGAGATATATGTGATAAAAAGTGTCCTGCTAATTGTGAAAGTTTTTGTGACAGATACTTAGGATGTACGATTTGTTCCCCTGGATTCACTGGGTCTAGCTGTACAAAATGTATAGACGGTACGTTTGGTAAAAACTGTAGCTTTAAATGTACAAATTGTCGTCTGGAATTTTGTCACAGTATTGAAGGATGCCAGCAATGTTTAATGGGCTTTTATGGACCCAATTGCGAGAACCCTTGTCCAGATCATTGTATGAAAGGCGAATGTTACAAAGAATCTGGACTATGTTCAAGTGGATGTAAAGACGGATTCATGGGTTCAAACTGTAAAACACCTTGCAGTAGTAATTGTGCCACTTGCATTCCGAATGAAGATAATGGACAATATTGTTTATCTTGTTATCAAAACTGTCACAATTGTACAGAGTACGGCTGTCTTTCCTGTAAACCTGAATTTTATGGGAGTTCCTGTGCGTTCTCTTGTCCTCCACAATGTATGACCTGTAATGCTACAGATTACTGTACCTCCTGTAGAGAGGGCTGGTCAGGCAGGATATGTCAATGTAATGTAAACTGTAAGGACGAATGTGGAGAAAATGGAAAGTGTACCAACGGATGTAAAGGTTCATTTTATGGTGATTACTGTAATATATCCTGTCCCATAGAAAACTGTCAAATATGTGATCAAAAGTTTGCGAATTGTACAAAGTGTAAGGAAGGACTTTATGGAACCCATTGTGACATGGAATGTAGTATAACCTGTGTTGGACCAGTTTGTGATATGGGTGGTGAATGTCTTCAAGGCTGTCAAGAAGGCTTTACAGGAGAATATTGTTGGAATAGTAAGTTTATACAATAAATTACTGAAATTAGAAAATAGAAAAGACAATGCTATCAATACAGTCTTTATTTATGTTTGTAAAATTCGAAATTCGTTTTAATCTAACTGAAATTTGAGTAAGTACATGACAATCAGCTGAAATTGTACTCTGTATTACGTACAGTCGAAATACATATAACCACAAAATTGTCCTTTTACCGTGCATTTCACACTTCATTTTAACTTTTTAACAATATAATATCTATGCATGATTATAGATAAATCGTTGTTTCATTTCTAAGGATTTGATAATATTCCAAGCCTGGTTACGAGAAAACAAAATTATGGTCAATGTGATATAAATTGATATACTAGTACTCTATATAGTCATTAGGTGAATGACCTTGAATTTGATTATTTAGACATATTTTATATCTTAAAGTAACTTAACAGTCTAGTTTCTTCTGGAATTCAATCACACATATTAAATACTTTTAATATGTATGATTATGTATAACATCAAAACAGTTTTTTTTTTGGATAAATGTCTTTTGAGCTAAACTATAAACAGAACGCAAATCGTTAAATGTATAAATTGTTGTTTAACCAAGTGTATGCACTAAAAGTTTGTGGCTCAAATTTTTCTCAATAGCCTTTTTCCCATATAAAATGTATATTTCATAGTGAATGATTCATTAAAATATTTCTCTATCTGTAGGGATCACACAATCAACTGATGACACTCAAACAAAACCCTATATAATTGCTGTTTCCGTCCTTGGAGTTCTTCTTGTAATCACGTTTGCTGTCCTGCTTTTTATATTCCTGGTAAAACGAAGAAGGTACTTCAATTTTTTTTCAAATACTATAGAATTATATATATAGTGTATATTTGAAGTATCACGTAAAGATATACAAGTGGATTCCTGATGACACAGTATTCATTTTATAGAGACCGAGAAAGAAGAGTAAAGGAGACCTATGAGAGTGTTCAAGTCACATTCCAAGAAACAGACCACCAATACGAAAGCGTTAACAGAGAACTTGCTCATTAGTCCCTTACTAATGAAACCGGAGGTGACAACATGTATAGGTTTTCTCCTCGTTCCTTCTGACTGTCTATCATTCGGTTCCACTTGGTTTTCAATACTTTTTAAAATTAAAATGAATTCATTTGATTAAATGATCTGATATTTTGTATATGTGAATATCTTGATAAGTAACGATTCAGAAAAGGTTTGCATTCCGTTTCGCAGCAAGGTTTTTAATGGAGTATTGGACATTTTAAGTTTATGGTACTAGTAACTACATGCAGATAACACTTGCCATTAGGGGACTAGTTTTATTTAAGCAAAACTCTCAGAATGTATGCCAAGTTGTAGAATTTATTCAAAAACATTTTGTTAATTTAATCATCGATATCATTCAAGTATCTGAAAAACAAGGTGTCATAAGAATAGTAAATACGAATAACTTTGATCTTCTAAATTGATAAATTAGGGGCGATATGCATTAAAAATTCTCAAACTCATAAGGATATACTCAAGTACTATTTTCCAGCTTAGCAGATTGAATATTTTCTCAGAATTTTTCTTCGCATATTGCATAAAATTCTCAACTATTCTTAGTGAGTCGTATATGATTAATGTTAAGCAGGTTCCTTACTTGTCCTAAATTTATCAAGCAATTTTGCTTAACAGCTGCTAAAGGCACTGTTTCAATGTGACTCGCATTCAAGTTGCAAGAAAGAAGACTTGGAGGACATTTAAACTTCCACTGCACTAATTATTTACAAACAGCTACTGAGTTCTTGAAAATTCCGTCTATCTGATCATACATAGGGCTTATGGCGGGTGTGATCTTTCAACAGAGGATGCTTAAATTTTTTTTAAAATTAAAATTTTGACTTAAGTCTATTCTCAGTTTAACTCAAAATTTTAATTTTTAATATCTTCAGTACTATTCCATGTATTAGCTTATAAGTTTGCAACTGTGTAAAATACTTCAATTCAATTATTTGTTGAAAGTTTTATTTTATTATTGAAATTATTTCCAAAGTTATATCAATTTGAAATTTTGACTTAAGTCTGATCTCAGTTTATGGTTTTGGGGCCAGGTGGAGTAAGCATCCTCTGTTGAAAGATCACACCCGTCATAAGCCCTATTCACATATTTGTATTGTTTGTATATATATATTTTTTTCAGATCGATCACGGCACCTTCCGTGTGCTCCTTGTCATGATTGGGAAATAAAGGAAAACTCCGTTGATAATTCAGTGTATATAATGACCTAACAATTAGCATGAAAAACGTCAGTCAGCATTTGACTTGAAGAGTTTGTATTTGTTGACAAGACCATTGTATCAACCGTAGAACTTACGAAATGCTGAATTCAAACGAGACTGCAGATATTCTTGTTTCCGGAATTTGTCTTTTAATAATTTACCTCGTTTTAGAAATTGTTCATTTGTAAATTATGTTCTTGCGTATCGAATTGTCTGCGAGATATTAACTCCGGATGCAGTTGATGAAGGTTTATTGCTGCATAAAAATGCATAAATTCAGATATATGTAACTGGCATAATACAAGTACAGTACGGGTTTTGAAGCAAAAATGGGATTCTTCGGGTGACAGTCGTCAGTTCATCAGCGTTGTCTTGGCCGATTTTGACCTTTTTTTTTTTTTTTTTTTTTTTTTGTCGGCCGACCAATTTTGTGTCCAAGTTATAATTTTTCATGCGTCGGTGGCCGATTTCTTCAACTGCAGTTATCCGTCAACCAACTTTCGATCATCTTCCGGCCATCGGCGGTCAGTTTATTAAGTCGGTCGTCCGTCATTGGACAATAAGGGTGTTGAAAATTTTGGTCGACGGTTAAAATCAAACTGTAGCTCAGAGCTCGATGATCGGGCGACGATTGGCCGACTTGTGAATATTTAACCTATTAAGGATACATAACACAAACAAAATTTTGATGCATGGATTGATATAAATTTTTTGAACGGAAATAACAAAGAATTAATCCGTAAGATATAAAGAAATCTTAAGTACTCTTTGCTGCTAAGATATGCACCATTTGTCGTTTTTATGCAATTCCATACACATTTTGCACACATTTTCAACATTGAGTCACAATTTTATAAGATTCTGCCACTTTACCTTACAAACATTACTCACGTCACCTATTTGAATATAGATCTATGAAAAAATATTGCTGATTTCTAAAGAAAAAAGATTTTTTGTGTTATTTATTTAAGTCATCGGTGTCCCTAGGAGATAATGTGACTGCTCCGTGTTGCCCGATACTTTGTAGACCGATCCTGTTTTTTCAGCCGACAAGACCAGAAAAATTTAGTCGCCCGACCATTGGCTTAAATGTGACCTAGGCATAAAGCAGAGATGACGATTTTGGACTACAGAAGTCTACCACCTTGAAAATCATTCAAAGAATTATTAATTCATTGCAATGTAAGGAAAGATCACCAAAAAGCACTATGCGTTTTTTTTTTTTTTTTTTTTTTTTTTTTTTTGCTTGGGTAACTTTGTAGTTGTGATAAAAGCTATTTGTGGTACCCACATGCACATTCTAATTTCATATAGTGAAAAATAAGTACCGGTAAATTTGTAAACTGAAAAGATTCCATTACATCAATTTGCAGATTGTTTCTAAAACTAATCAGAGAATATCAGATATTGTATCCACTTGGCAAGGTGTAACACATCATTCTAGAATGTCGTCGCTTCCAGGCGACCATTAATATCCATACGCAAATTGATAATTGGCACTATTTCTGAACCCATCAGATAGGCAGCAAAGACAGTATAAAAGTCTTAAATTATGTAGATTACTGTTTAAAATTGTTTATTATTATTATTTTTATTATTAATCCTTTTGTAAAATTTTAACATTCTTTTTAATAATCATTTTCACAATACACGTAGGCTAGTTATTTTCAAAACGATTTAAAATATGACGTCAATTCATTTTTGTGCGTAGTTTGGCAAAGTCCAGTACCTGTGACACAACATATTAAGGAGGCTGGGGGGTCAACAAATAAACCCCAAATTAACCATCAGATTTAACTTATTTTTTTAGATATGGTATATTAAGCTGTCATCTATTATTTGGCAAAGAAAAAATTCCTACATTTTAGTTTTAAAATTTGATCATTTTTTATATCTTTATATGGAGCTCTTCTTTTAAAGGAGATCAAAATAGTCTGAAAATGGCTGCCACCCCCCAGCCTCGTTAATGAAAAAAAGTTACATTTTACTATACAACCAAATATTGAAAAGAAGGAAATAAATACAGTATATTACATATGATTTGCTGGGCATGTTATCTGGATGACTAATTATAATACACCTCATTACATTGAACACAACAGTTCTAATAACCTGATTACCTGACCTGAAAACACTATGTGCAAGAAGTATTTCTGCCATCAAGTTTCCGTAATTTGAAACCTGCGAAAGCCCAAATGTTTCCCATAGAATCTGGAGATCACGCATGTCATGTTCATAAGATTCATCGATCGGAGAAGTTGAATAAGCCGCCTACCTGCACCGTACTCGCCGTCATCGTTGTGACCCTCGTGGATTGCGCCGTTACCTCGTGGATTGCGCCGTTACCATCTTTAAAACGGTACACTTAAATAGTGTGTTCTGCTGTTGCGTATGATGGGTCTATAACGATTTTTTTGTAAAAGTTTCTAACCTGGTTGTATGTGTCTGTTGTTGCTGCGGCTGCTTTGAAAGTGTTTCATCTGAACAATCGATGGTAGACATAGGAATTTGCTGAAGCTTTTCCTTAATTATCTGCTTTGGTCATATCCAGAATATTTTCTGTCTTTGGTTTCAATACTTTGTCCCTGTACACATTTCCATTCGGAAATACTAACTTCTCTCCTAGAAATCGTGTCATCACTTTCTCCTTCATGTAATGATTATTTATTTCCTGAAGTTTCTTTCGGTTTTCCGCGACTTCTATGGGTCTTTGTGGCGTGATGTAAAAGGTTCTTTCGGGTGCTCCTGATTTTGCGGTCTGGTCAGGCTGGTCAGACGCTTCACGATCTCTTTTGTTCTGTTCTCTTTGTGCTTGGAGAATTTTTTCCTTATCAGTAAATTTTGAAAGTTTGCCAGTAATAATTCGAGATTTCCCTGAAATTTTCGGCCCATTTCTATGAATGTTTGCAGAGGATGTTTCAACTCCAAAATGCTGCTGCTTTATGAGATGTGGAATTTTCTCAAATAAATTAAGAATATTCTGATCCATCGACCTTGACTTTAAATCTGTAATTTCAGATTGCTATTTTCTGACTGTTCTGTCTAAATTAACGACAACTGATTTTAACATATTGACATCTTCTGTCAACATTTTGTTTTCCTCCTGAAGCAACTGAATATTGTCGATGTTCTTCTGTTGTTGAGCAACATGAGATATGCGAAAATCAAATCCATCTTCCTCCCATAGATCTTTCCTTATATAACCTATATCTTGAGTTAAGGAGGCTGGGGGGTCAACAAATTAACCATAAATTAACCACCAGATTTAACTGATTTTTTTAGATATGGTATCTTAAGCTGTCAACTATCATTTGGCAAAGAAAAAATTCATAAATTATAGTTTTAAAATTTGATCATTTTTGTATATCTTTATATGGAGCTCTTCTTTTAATGGAGATCAAAATAGTCTGAAAATGACTGCCACACCCCAGCCTCTTTAAGCCTTTAATTACCTTCAAAGATTCAGTTATTTCCCCCAGACTTATCTGTAAGTTCGGTAGAGTCTGCATTGCACCGAGTAACTCAGGCGTGAACGGCGGCATGAATTGAGGAACAAAGGAGATACCGCTAGTGCTGAAATCCGAAGTAGGCTGGCCATGTCCACTGTTTCTTTTTTGAACTGACATCTGCTCGCGACTAGAACTTGCAAGAAAACATTGATGTAACCATCAATTGTCGCCCGGGAAATATATAAAGTAAACAATGGAAATGAGTCTTGATCATCAAACTGCTTCGATATGTGTGAAAAGGCATGCGTCTAATTAATGGAGACGATAGTCGCGAATATTTTGAAAACTTGTAGTCGGATAAAAATTAATAAAAAACGATACCATTTTAAACTTGATCAATTCCTCAAGTAAATGTTGGCTGCATAAAATATAAATTGAAGTATGACACATGCATCACTATATTCAAAAATGTATTAATTTTCAATCATAGAATATAAAACACGAACTGTGCAGAGTACGTATATGCGAGAAGTAAAATTCCATGTTCTATAAAAAGGGATCTGTCGTTTTTTCGATAGTAAATGATAAGCAACTTTATATATCGAATATGAAAAACATATATATTTTTACAGATTCACTTTATTGAAGTAAATATATTATGTATCTCGTAATTTATAAAGGGAAAACATTCTGATTAACAATCTTTTCAATGTATAGAAAATCTTTAATTCTGAATAACTTCTCCCACCCAAATCCCCATATACCAACACTTAAACTTATATGTATAGAGCAGCCCGGTCCTCCGGGCTGCAATAATTCTATTGTCCAAACGGAGAGCAAAAAGAATAACACAAATAAATCACTAAAAACTTGCCAAAAACTCCAGTTTTTTTCTCAAAAAAAAGTAATCATTGTTCTTTAGGTCTGGCCACACATAACTTTAATCCCCGATCCAGAAAGACACACTTAAGGTCAAAAACGTCGGAGCTCAGAAATTCTTGACTACCCGGCCATAGGTAACGTGATCTTTTTCAGTGATACAACATATACTGTATTCATGGTTTTGTAAATATATTTAACTACATTTATGCAATCAATTTAAATACATATATTGCATGCGTCTTTAAAAATATTTTAGCACACAAAATTTCCATTGTGTTGTAGAGAGTTCATGATGAAGTAAAACTGCCATGCTATTGATCTAAGCTTTTCTAATCAAGCAGTGTAGTATTTTACTCGATTTCAAGCAAGTTTTACATTTGCGAGAATACTAGTATTTATTCCTTTAATGTGTGTCAGCCTCACTTTAGAATTTGTTATTTGTACTTTATATGTCACATCGTGCTTATGTTTTCAAACTGTGTCCCCTTTGCAAACATGAAATTCTTTGTTTCAAGTATTTTCAAACATAATTGTGGGTCATATTTTTCTCAGAGAATGGCAAAATATTTAAGGTGACGCTTTTTGTTTTCATGGCTATATCATTCATTTATATTATACTTAAAATTGATTAACATTACCTTGGTTTTTGAGGAAACATTCATTAAAAATACGGTTACTTTTTTAACCATGAAATAAGGTTCTACAGTGTGATAAAACTTAGAAACAGTCAAATTTGTTCTACCACCTTTCAACATTGTTTTTGCTTGCATGAAAAGTTCAGTATAATAACTATGATAAATATTACATGTAGTTTAAAGCCTTGATTGAAAATGATTTTCAAGGGATTAAATGTTTTTATTTAACTTTCAACTATGTGTAGTAATGCAGCGTGTATATGATGTTCTTTAGTTGTATTAGTATTCATATACGAAACTAAAGAATTGATTTTATTTTGGATTTCATATAGGCTGACTACATGTATCATTGTTTTAACTGTTGAAGAACAGCTCATAGACTGTAATATTTACATAATTTTATGCCTGAGCACAAAATAAAACTCATAATGATAAAACAAGTAGTTTTTCTATGATTTATTTGATGAAACAAACATTTTGCTTGAAACATAAATCACTGTTATTTTAGTTTCCGTACAGCGGATGAAGTGGGTTGCAAACTTTGACCGAATTAAAAAACACTGTTGTTTAGTTAGCCGGTAAAATTTTAGTCGCCAAATTTTCACTCTTCATTATCACTATTGATAACTACTGATAACAAGAAAAATCATTTTACGTAACTTTGATTAGTTTGTTGTACTTGCAAAATAACTTGCATCTTTACTCATTTTTTGTGTAAATATGTATTCAACGCATATAGAGAGTAATTAAACGTACTGAAACTTTTCTTAGAGATGAATTCCTTCTCTTTTGCAATGTCACAGAACTCTGTGTCCGCCAAAACAATTCCATCAAAGATAATGGCATACTTTTGAGCAAGCAAAACGCCAAATATTTTTTTAAATGACAGAGATACATGTTAGGTTAAATATGATTCTCTCTCTCTCTCTCTCTCTCTCTCTCTCTCTCAATTAAACTGTGTTAAACCGAACAATTTTCATATTTTTCTACAGGGTATGAATTGTTATTTCTTAATGAATGTGCGTTTCTTTCTCATTTTTTCTCTTTGTTTGTACTTTTTGTTACTTGAAGAGATATGACAATAATTATGACTTTGTACCGTTAAATACTACTTTGATATCTAAAATTACACTCGCCATAATATAATATGCCGAAATCGTCGAACTTTCAGCCTTTCTCATAACCTCATTAACAGTGATACTTGTACCATCCCATGAATTTATAAACATAAATAGATGAAAGAAACAAGATGTTTTAGTGAAACAAAGTTAAAAAACATTTTTAGCATATACATGTAGGTCACAGTCAAGGTCAGGACGTCATTGATCTTGGTGTCATTTAAAAGAACTTGATTACTGAAGTTTGCATACCAAATATGAAGCCTCTATCTCTCATGGCTCAAAAGTTATGATGAAGTTCAAAAAAGCTATTTTTAGCATATAGGACAACGTCAAGGTCACATGGTCATTGACCTTGGTCTCATGTGAAAGTGCTTGGTTAGTGGAGTATACATGCCAAATATTAAGTCTATCTTTCTTCGTTCAAAAGTTATGGCAAAGGTTAAAGTTTGCAAAAAAGCTATATTTAGCGTATAGGTCACAGTCAAGGTCACAAGGTCATTGACAATGGTGTCATTTAAAAAAGCTTAATCGGTTGTGTAAGCATACCAAATATGAAGTTGGTGTCATTTGAAAGAGCTTAATTAGTGAAGTAAGCATATCAAATATGAAGTTTCAACCATTCACGGTTGAAAA